CCTGTGGCAGTGAGAAAGGCAAGAGAGAACTTCAAAGCCTTGCAAATGAGAAACAAACAATGGCCTGATCACAGACTGCTCCATCTGGGCAGAGCAGCCTTTGAAGATGACTGGAATCCAATGGGCACCAGCGTGCAGGATCCAACCTTGGCTTCTGCAGGAGCCCAGGAGCTGCTGCTGGGTGAGGGCTGGTCCAGCCCTGCCCTGCTCCTCCCTAGGGAAAATCACTCCTTTGGACCAGCACACAAAACGAGCTGCCAGCACATCTCCTTTGTTTGCATTGCTGCCACAGGTTCAGGCCCCTTGGCCATTTAACATCATGAACCCCAATTCTTCCTCTCACCAAGGTACTTAACTTTTAGAAGGGACACAATGATTTCCATACCCCTAAGTCTCCACAATTTTGGGGAAAGATTGAGAAGGTCACACCTACACGTATGTGCAGTGACACTGTCCTCCTGCATTTAGCAATACCTTTCCTCTTCATATCTGTTGTCCTACCCTTCTGAATAGATCCCAAACCAGAGCATTTACAGCAAAACTTGATCTCCACAAATCTATTTATAACCCTCCTATGAGCTAAATTCCAAAGATTTTTTTTCTCTTTGCCATTTAAGGACATGAACCAGAAAATGTGCAAACGGGTGGGTTCCACTTTGCTTCACACCCTCCACAGCCAGTCTCAAGGGAAAATACTCTATTTGTATTCTGTACACAAGAGGGTGTGGAAACATGTAATGTTTCCATTGCCTGAAATCCTTTCCCTAATATTTTCCCCACTGCAACTTGGCCTGGCCCCAGGGGTTCCAATTTCAATTGCTCTCATCAACATGAGACTGAACAAGCAGATAAGGTCCAGCAGCTTGCTGAGTAGTTTTGCTTCCAAGCTTGTGACACTGTGGCGAATCTGTAAGCAAAAGCTGCCTTTGTGCATTTTTGGAGCACACAGGACAGCTTCACAGGGAGACTGGTCCAGATGCAGCCAAGCAACTCCAAACAATTCCAAAAAAACCCAAACAATTCCATCTCCAAGCACGGAGGAAATGCCCTTTAGACATGACAGCAGTGTCACCACTGAGCCTGGTCTGCCCTCACCTCATTCCCTGGGCTTCGGGGGTTTTATACCCTTAATCTAGAAATGTAATACATAATCTGTGTGAACACACCAAGGAAAAAAGTCTAAGATGATCTGGGAAACCAGTCAAAAACAAGGTTTTAGGTAGTGCCTAAGCTTGTCATTTTGGTATTGCAAATTCTTTATAAACACTAATAAACCAAACCCCAGCAGAGCCATAGGCTAAATACAGAAAGGTACAGCTTATCCTTGACTTGGAGATAGAGAAACAGACACACGGCCATTAAGTGACTCACCAGGTATTTACGGCCACCGGAAAAAATTCAAAGGAGAAATTACTCCAGTGGCCTAAGAGGTTGCTGCTTTTATCCCTTTCTTTCACCTGCTTTCTCAGCTATTTGGTCCTGCCCTCACTGCAAGCCAGCAGGGCAGTCCCCACAAGCAATTCTGTTTTCAACACTGAGGATTTTCTGATCAGGAGGTGCCCCTGTGCTTCATGGACAGTTTTGAGGGGCAGGAAGAGGGAAAGAGACATCAGTTTGTGGTGGAGGTTCCAAACACAAAATGCATGGAAAGGAGAACTTCCTTAAAACAGGATGTAAACCCCACAGCTAACACACCAGCTGAGTAACAGTGTGACATTCCCTAACCTTTTTGGTTGATCCAGTCTGTTTCAAGAAATCTAGGAGCAATCTCCCCCGGGGGTGGGAGGGATCCCAAATTACAGAGTGCTGAGCCTCCTTCCCTGCTGGGCCAGTTGAATGCACAAAAACATCAGGAAAGAGAGAAAAAAAAATTCTGTAGTTCAACAGTGCTGTGACCTCGCTGTTTCATCCAGAGAGGTCAGATCTAATATGACCTTCAAATACCTCTGAGTCAAATTTCAGCCTCAGCCAAGCCCTAGTAGACAAGCTGCACCTTCCAAGCAGGAGCAGCACCCCAAGAGGAGGTGCCTACACAGAGGGGAGGTGATCTCCCTCCAGTGCATTGCCCTTAAATCCATTCCCACCCTTTTCACCCCTCAGCAGCCTGCTCAAAGCCAGCAAACCATCCCCTGCACACACACCTTTCCCAAAGCAGCAGCTCTCTCTCTGTAAGCTGCCAGGGGGGAGTTACTAAGAGGAGACAATTTTTAAAGAATGAAAGCTCCCTTTGAATGCAGGCTCCACTCTCTGCACTCACAGGCCTGTGTGCCTCAGGCTTTGTGCACCTGGAGCCCAATCCTGCACACTCCCCATAAAGCTCCCCTCAAAGGCAGCAAAATACTCTCAGGACTGCGCTTCCCATTCTGCCCTGCGTTACCTTTTTTGGTGCTTTCTCCCATACCCAGGAGAGCCCAGGCAAGCCCTGCAGATGGACAGTTATGCTCTCCTGGCCCTCTCTTTCTTAGGCATATATGGTTTCCTGTCCCTCTGTGCTCACACACTGGGATCAAATGTTCCAAGCTGCACCCTTGGCAGAGAGGGGTTAAGAACTCCACTGATCTTTAATACAAAGTAAAAACTCAGGCAAGCCCACAAGAATAGGTCTCATCTAAGCAGCTACTGAGAAATCAGAGTATTTTCCACAGTCCCAGGACATTAAAGCTCTATTTGTCCTGCAGGCTCTCACTTTTCTGCAGTGAAAAGATCCCCCCACAGGCAGGGCTGCTCCAGCTGTGCAAAGGCAAGTGTGGAACAAGGAGGATTTCCAGTCAGGCTCCTGATGGAGCCTCCCTGGCATCTTCCTAGCACAGAAGCCATGAGAAAAGCCTTGCCCCACACCTTTGTGGTCTCCCCACCTGGAATGGGGCAGCGCTGCTCCCTAATCCTGGATGGGATTGAGCAAATACTCCATGTCACATGTGGCCCCATGAATGAGATCAATAAAAAACCTTCCCATCTAAATGCACTTCAATTTTCCCCTCTAATGCCAGCCAGAGAATCTTACACCCTTCCCCACTTTCCTTTCAAATCTTTCAGTGTCATTGTTGCATTGTGCCTATCAGTGTTGGACAAGAAATAAAAGCACAAGCAAAGTGACCCCTTTCTCTGCTCCATGCCAGAATAATGCTGTGAGTATAGGAAGAAGCATTTGTAGAAAATCCCTCATTCTCCTAAAAAGTGCCTACATCACTCACTGTCAAAGTGTATTCAGAATACACAGGACCCCTGAATCCATTAATGATGGTATTGATTTCACCAGCACTAATCCTGTGAATGAAGGCTGTGGAATGGATCCTCTTGTCATTGCAAGTGGCAACAAAGAGGAGTTTTTAGGAAAAACAAATTATTTCAATTGAGTCTCTTGTTCACAGTCATGTCATCTGGTATTTCTTCCCTCCCATCATGACTTAGGAGTCTACATTAACATATGCAGGTTTTTTTAAGATTGCCTATCAAAGCAGTTTCTCCAGTAAAGACAGACCTATCATTTCTTCAAATAATAGAGAAAAGTTCTGCCCTGCTTTACCTTCTTATCAATTACCTTTGCCTCATTACCAATTTAATAAAGCAAAAGCTTTGCTCCATTTGTAACTTATGTAAAAAGAGTCTGTTCTGTTGATTTTAGTGTGTGTAGTTTTGGGGTCCCATCCTGTCTAAATGGCAGGAGAGAAAGATGAGACTTGATGCAGATGAGAACTTGCAGCTACATTTAATGAGACAGAAAAAGAATGGAGGCAGAGTCTGAGGGTTCTCCAATGGCAAATCATACAAACACAGTCATTTCACAGTATGCTATCTAAAATAGACAAATTGTAATAAATACATGGTTCTTACAAAAAGAATTCTGCCTCCTTGTTTTCTTTGAGCTGCTGCCAAGGAGGGAATGTGTTATTTTCCCAAATTATTCTCCTGTCTGCCTTTTAGCAGGGGAAGCCTTCTGAGGCAGAGTTGTACAAAAGCTATGTACTCTGAAAAGAAATTCTCCTCTGAAAACAAGTACTCCGTAAAAAAGTAACTTTAAAACAGTTATGTTCTCATTCTTCCAAACAACACTTGACACATGAGACCAATCTGTTCCATCCCTGCAGGTCTGGCCAGAGATTAGCAGCTTGGTCAGTGTCTGCAGCTACCAGGCATTCATCTGCAGCAAACTTCCTCCCTTCATTTTCCCAGCCCTTTCCCTGAGAAATTCCCTGCCATGCAAGAACATCGTGCTATCAGCAGCCAGCCTTGCACAACGCTTTCCAACTGTCCCAACATGTCAAAGGAGCTGGGAAGGGGAGCCTGCTCGCCAGCTCTCCCCAGCAGCACTCTGACAAACACAGAGCCAGGCTTCCAAGAGAGCTCCAGTCCCACCCAGGCACATTCTTTAATCCCCCCCTCTTTTAACAGGGAAGACAACTTCACAAGAAACATTCTGGCAGCGCGCTGCCGAGCATGTTGGAGGCTGAAAACAAAAACTGATGCCATCTATTGTCAACAACACTTCTGTGAAAGGCTGCCATGAGGGACATCTGCTTCAGCGGGTATCAGATCACTCACATTAAGCAGAGCTTCTCTGTGTCTGTATCAGTTACACCCCGAGACTGCCCTTGCAGTGTGGAAGTGCACGTATTAAGTTGCAAAATTAAAAGCAATTCAGCAGACCTTAACGCGCTGAGAGGTTTCTCATTGGAATGCCTCCATTAAAAAAAAAAAAAAAAGGGGGGAGAGGGGGATTAAAAATAAAGAAAAGTGTTATTAGAATGGGTTATTGCTACTAACGAGCCCAGCAGAGGATGAGAAGTGGAGTGGTGGGATCTGTCCTTATTGAGGTCCAGCGGGGTGAGCAGACACGCATCCCCCGCCACCCGAGATCGCCCTCAGATCACCACGAACATCTGGAAAGGGGGAGCAGACACAGAGAGAGAGCAGCAGAGCAGAACCAGCCTCCCACAGCCCGTTCAGACCCGGGGCTCCTCCATCTGCAAGGCAAACCCGTCCCGCAAGCCCTCCCTTACCTCTGGCTGCAAAGTTCTCAGCTCTGGTAGGAAGGAAATGAATAACTGGCTGCTTGGGCAGGAGCGCAGCGAGAGAGGCACAGCAGCAGCCTCACACACACACACACACAGCCCTATTCAATAAAAGTGCAGCTTTTCCTTGGCCCCTCCCAAAAGTCAGTGCTAAGTGAATACATATCCCTTATGTTTACAGTTGGCGGGCGGCGGAATGCATTGTCCTCAATTTATTCCGAGGGGCAGCCAATGGCTGCGAGCAAGCCAAGGTGGGCTCAGCCTGCCTGCAGAGATGCCTGTCATTCCCCAGGCATGCTCAGGAAGCCACTCATCAGAAAACCAAGACCTAAAAAGCTCCGAAAATTCGTGCGAGCTGCCAAAAGTGTCTTGCTACATGCCCTTTTTTGGTTATCCTTAGCAGGGCCTCTGAAAGTAAATCCTCTGTCAGGAACAATCATAAGAAATGTTAATCTTGGAGAAGGAGGCTGTCTTGTTGGACACAAACGGAGCTTAAAAAAAGGAAATGCTCTGAATGGAAAGGGATACAATAAACATATTTACTTTTTGCACCAGGATTTTTTTAATATTTTTTTAGTCAAATAATTTCACCACAGCTAAACTACATTGTATTTTTTTTTTTTAACAAGGACCACATGTAAAAGGCAACAGAAACACTCTGCTGTGCAGGCTTGATTCTGCAGAGAGAGACACCAGTGGGAAAGGCACATGAAAGATGAGTTGGCAGGCTTCACAGCCTGATTCCATTTCAAACAGCACAGTAGAAGTTACAGATAGGATAGCCATGTTCTGAAAAATAACTTTTAAAGAGATTCAAAACTTTGACAGTGATCCTTGGCAAGCTGGATTATTTGGGTGCACAGGTTTAGTTTATAGCTCCACAACTATTCCTTTAGAATTAAGCCTGGCTCATTTACTAAGAGAATAGCCCTACATCTCCTTAATACGACCAATACTTGCACAGTCTTTAAATATCATCAATAAAGTAAGCTTGGATTAATTTTTATCTTTGCTTTGCTTTAGTGTTTGCATGCTGCTGATAGCTTTGCAAATTAAGCAGGCATCTTAAAAATGGACAAACAGATAAAGACTGGTCATGGAAACATACAAAGTACATAAACCAAGGGTGAAAATAAAGATGAAAATGATTGCCTAGAAAATAGCACAGTACAGAGATCCCAACACGTACCAGCCACTAAGGAAGGCTGTAGAGCAGCTGACTGCTCTAAGGGAATGAGATTCCAGACCAGGAGATGTTGTGCAGATTCATATTTGACAATAACATACACAAAACCAGTTAGAGGGAAACTATGTGTGAGATGACTCTGCAGCTGAATGGGCTAAACTATTTTAATGCCTTTCTGGGTCCTTCTTTCTGGCCACTGAGCCCCACAGATTCAGTCACATGTGTAATGCAAGAAGGATCCAGTCCACAGACAGTAAACTAATCCTTATAGCATAAAAAAATAATTCAGAGTCAAATCTATGCAGATTTACAGCAAGAAATCATAATTATTCCAGTGCCATTTTAAATTTCACTGCTTTATTATATGAAGCAAAAAGTGGTGTTTGCTTTTTGAAGGCACTTTTTTCCTTCATTTTAACAACCCTCTGGAAAATTCTTCTAATGCCACACAGCTCCCATGATGTGGCCACAACAGTTTTAAATATTAAAAGTAATACCTACAGCATATATATGACTTCGTTTGGTGGGATTTACTAGACAAGAGAGAACAAAATTCTTGTTCTCAGTCATTCCATTAACTGCAGAAATTATTAGCCTATGTATCCATGAGCAAATAAAAAGAGGTAATGACATTATTCAGGAAGGAATTACAAATCTCTACTGGATTGTAGCATCCCTAGATTTTTAGGGTGGAAAACATGGAAGAATCCAGGCTAAGAAAAAAGCAGGATTAAGGGATGTAGGCTCTCAAAAGAGAAAAGTGAAGCTTAGGAGTACCCTCAGGTTCTCATTGCAGCACAGCCATCAACCCCTACAAACTCAGTGTCCAATGCAGCAGGGAGCCAGAAGGGATGCACTACCTAAAGCTGAAAGCAACTGGGTTTTTTGTGCTATTTTACCTTTTTTAAACTGGGGTTTTTTAATATTTTAGCTTTTTTTTTTTTTCATTCTTACCATGACTTTGATGCTCCCTTGCTAAAGCATCCCAAACTCTGTGTTCCAAGTCATCTTTCCATCAAAATTCCACAAAAAAAACCCCAATTTTGCTTTGGGGTAATAACATCATGAAAAGTAAAGCTTGCATCCTTCTTGCTCAGTTGAATTTCACCGAGAGGAACTTTTGAATTCCATGCTCTGAAGCCAGCATAATGTCACAGAGCCCAGCGTTTTCCTGGAGATACTACTGGAAACCTGAGCTTTAAAGAATGCAGAGTTGAATTCTGGTGGGTGCCCTTCTACATCCTATGACAGGAGCCACCTGTAAATACAGTTATAACCTGCCTAAATCCACAGCTGTAGCAATTCAGGGAACTCCAGTGGTAGCCCTTGCCCTCACCACCAGGACTACCAGTCTAGCCACAGCCTCCCCTTTGCTTCAACAGTGAGAGACCCTTTGTGCCACAGCCCAGACCTAAAAATATTTCTGGGACTGGAATAACCCAAATCCTGGCTTATGATTGCACATGTAGGAAATAGGGAAAAATAGTTTATGCAGAAATGAAGCCCCTAAATCAAGTACAATTTTGATATCAATGCCTTATCACAGTCAGGAATGAGCACCTTGCAAGTGCTCATTGCTAAGCTCCAAAGTTTGATAACACAGGGCAGAGGTGGGACTGCTTGTGGTAAGAGTCAAAGCACTTCTACATTTTGGGTTGTTAGTGCAGCGTCTCCCTCAGAAGAATCATGTGGGAAGTAGCTGGAAATCTGTCACGACTGGGCCTCTCACAGGTTTGTCAAATTTTCCTGCAAAATTTACTTTTTAAAGCTGAGGTAAATCTGTGGTCTGGAAATACAGTGAATATCATCCCCTTGGGAGGCAGCTCTGGTTGCTGTGTACAGACACTGAACCATTTGCATTTTGGCACCACAAAGCCCTTGAGGCTCACAGACAGTGGTGGCTGGAGGTCCACTTGGGTCATTGCTGGTCCAGAGTGCCCCAGAGTGCCTTCTTCCCAAAGCAGCTGTGATCCCTGCTTGGAAGAACCTTGGGGGTATTTATGGATTGTTTTGCAAAACAATATTTTGCTTTTCAAAATGAAGTCATTATTATTATTATTGAGCTTTCCAAAATTATTTATCTTTTTATTTGACTTGGTGCAAGTGATCCCTACTGAGCAGCACTGTCCCACCACTGTCACTGCAATTCTTCAGCTGCCATTCCAGACACATCCTGAACCACCCCACACCTTCACATTCCCACAATACAGCAGGATGCACACAGAGCATCAAATACACCACAGGGAAGGCCATTCTTCCCATTTGTACCAAACTGCTTCTTGCCTCTCACCCCCAAATTGTCATTTTTTGTTGTCTTCACAGATAACAGTAGGTCGAACTGTCCTAATGCTCACAGCAAAAACACAGAAATCTTTAGAAAGTGCTATCAGATTTGGGTTCCCTTCACACCCCTGCAGTGCACGATTTCACTGTGAAACTCTGCCATCCTTTGTTAAGAGTCCTTTCCGTCCCTGTTGTGCTCAGAGACATTCTCAACGACAAAACACATCCCTGGAGGGTCACATGGATGGGGCAGAGCTTGGTCCTACCCTGTACAACCTCTAAGGAGCTAAAGCAGGTCTTGAGAGGAGAAATAGGATTCCCTTTCCTGGCAACATGAAACAAACTCCTCTTGCTCCTCACTACCTGTTGGAGTATTCAGCCCCTGAAAAACCAGGCACAACTGCACCATCCTTCACTTCCAGCCCTTCCAGAACAGAAGTGATAAGTGGAACGTCACCATCAAAGATGAGGGGCCCTTTCTGAGCTTACACAAGATGTCCAGCTAACCAGGCCTTGCAGGAGGCCTCATTGCCTATACCAGGGTAGGTGGTGCCTGTGTCCCTTGGATGGATGGACGACTAAACCTTCTCTGGTCCCCAGGGGACACAAACTCAGGAACTGGGTTGGGTGAGGAGCACACCAGAGCAAATTCAGCAGCAGGAGCACTCCAGGAGACATTCACCAGCTCACACTTGGCTTTTCCCTCCTTTGAGGAGCAGCAGGAGATGTGCTGAGCACCCCAGCCCTGCTCACAGCCCCTCTCTCCCTCCAGGCCAGCTCACAGAGTGTGGCTTTGGCTCTGCACATTTTCCCAAACCTCCTGACAGCACCAAGAGAGCCCAGTGTGGGTTTCCTCCGCCCCAGCAGACATTTCTGAGTGATGCCATGGCTGTGCCATTTCCACAGCTCATCTCACACATCTCCCAGGTGCTGCGTCTCACAGCTGAGGCCCCTCTGACACAAAGGTGAGGGAGCTGAGATTTGTGAGCAAGCCACCCAGCTGGCAGCTCTGGCTGGGGATTGCTGCTGAGGGAGAAGCCCACACACCACGAGCAGGTTTGATCATCCCCAAAATTACCTCCTGGGCACAGACAAGCTGCTTCTGTGTTAGACAGGCAAGAGGTAACTTTTTAGGAAAGTTTTACACATGCTGCTTCAGGCAATATCTTTTGGCCTGAATCAACACAACCCATAGGAGTTCAAAGCCACCAGCATGCTCAAGGAGGGTGTAAAAACTACCACAAAAGAGAGCAGGGAAATATGAGCATCTCTTCAAACACGGGGCTGTGTGCAGTGCAGTGTCAGTCAGCAAAAGGAAGGGAAAA